TCTAGTTTCCTTTTCGTTTCTTCTTCCATTTTTTTCTCTTTTTGTTCGAACTCTACCACGCCTTTCTCATCCCCTGTTTGCCAAAATGCTCTACCCATTCCTCCTTTTTAATATTCGTTTCCATGCTTGCTTTTTTTAACCTGTAATTATTTATCGTTTGCTAAAATTCATCTATATCCTTGCATTTTATTATCTTCGCGTACTTACGTTCGTTGCAAATTTTCTTCTCATAGGCTATTCATTTTTGCAACTCAATTTTTTGTTTCCTTTAATTATCGCGGTTTCTCCTTTTCCCTGGTTTTAACCATCGTTTCAGAGCATTCTAAATGTTAATATTTTGTTCCCTGACCTCTCTTGTACGTTTCGGCATTCATATCCACGTTATCTTTGTCATTTTTAATTTGCTTGTCGTTTTCCATATTTTTTGCAGAAGTATCGTCTACTTATATCTCACATCTCTCTCCCCTAGCTCCGCCTCGTTCCATTTCTCCTCCATTTTATGTCTAAATTGCTCTTTTTTCCTACCACCCCATTTCAGCTTTTCTCCTTCAAGGTTTCTATCTGTTTCTTCTCTACTTATTTTTTCTTTCGCTCTCCTTATACTAATAACTACCGGTAAGTGGTCTTTATCTCTTCTAATGGTTACTTAATAGTATCCGTTTCCTCATTACACCCTTCCATGACCAGGTCGAGCATTGAGTTATTCCATATGCTTTTCGTACATCCATTTTTTAATGTTAAATTATAATCTCCCATTTTTCGAAGAAATTTTCCCCCTTCTTATAAATAGTAGTTTCTTTTTGACGTTCTACTAATTCCTCTACCCCTCCCTTGAGTTGCTTAGTCCCTATTTTTATATTCATATCGCTCGCTATAATTACTCTGTTGTTCCTATTTATACTGTCGTATAAGATTTCATTTGTTTTTTCTATCAACGTTCCCGCTTTTTTCTCTAGCGTTACAATATACCGTTATTATATTTATGCGAGTCACTTTACCTATTTGAATCCCCTTTACCACTAATCCGAACACTTACTCTTCTATTATTATTTTCCTCTCAAAGGTTTTTCAGATTCCTATTAACACTCTTCGCTTTGCTTTCCAATTTACCATAGTCGTTGGTTTTGCTACCCATTTGAAATCGTTATCTAAATTGTTGATTAACGCTTTTGTCTTAGGCTCTTCTAACCACATTTCTAGAATCATGATAACGTCTTTATCTCTTAAGAACCCGAACCCCTAGCAAGCTCCCAATTTCCTTATACCGGCAAGATTCTATGTCACGCCCTTAATGCTTGTCTCTGTCGTAGTCTCCCCTTTTACTACCGTTATTGTTGCTCTCTGCTTCATGCATTCTGCTTCCACTCTTCCTGTTCTTTCGAAAAAGTATTTTTCCTTCCCCGTCAACAGCTATTAGACTTCTCATTCTTTCATCCTAGATAAACTTTTTGTCTTTCATTCTTATTTTTAGATAGCCTACATATACATCCCCGCTCTTGCCCCGTTCCTTCTCTGCTGTGTCTTCCAACCACTCCTAAACTTCTTGTTCTCTGTATGTTCTAGTCTCTTCTACCCATATGCCTCTTCTTTCTAGTTCCCTCGTGCGCTTGATGACTATCATTTTATTGGCAAAGTAGTTGAAAGTTATAAGTAGTTCTCTCCTTCGTACTGATAACTTTACTGAGTCTACATTTTCACGAGTGATTCCATTACAAATCCCTAGTATTTTGATCCGTCGTCCTTACTCCTCTCATCATGATATTGTTTATTCTTGCTCTTCTTTCCCTCAATTCCTATGTGTACTTGCCTTGCGATAAAGCTTCAGACTTTTTGTACGCGGGATTTCTGTTCTCCTTATCTATTTCGTTGGTCGCGTGTACTCTTTTGAGGATACTCTTCGCAGTGTCCCGATCAACATAGTTCTCGTGTTTCTTTGCTTTGTCGCTATTGAGGGGTCGTTTGCTCGTTCTCCTGATTTCTACTTCCCTCTATATGCTATTTCTCCCGATATTTTCTCTCTAGCTCACTTCATTTCCTCTGCGTTTTTTCCCTTTTAGATTTTCAGATTTAAATTGCTAACATTTTCTTCCGATTTTTTTTCAACGCGTCTCTTTCTTTTTAGCGCTTTGCTTTAATCTTTCCATATTCATTTTTCTTTCAACTATTTCATTTTTCAAATTCTCTTGAAATCCGTTTATCACCTCTTGTTATGCTCTGTTGTTCTCCGTATTCTCTTTCAGCAGTCTTTCGTATTTTTCCTCCAAACCAGTTGCTCGGCTCTTTTTGGTCATCGTCTTCCCTTACTGTTGCTATTTCCCTTCGTCCCGGCTTCGACTTCATTCTTCCTTATCCCGTTCTCGTCCGTCTCCTTCTTCCTGCTTTCTGCTTTATCTACTATTGCCTCCTTTATCACTATAAATGTCTGCTGGTATGTTATTGTTTATTTCGACAGGTTTCTGTTCTGTTTCTAAGACATTCTCGATGCTCGGACTATTGCTAGAAATATTCTCTGTTCTCCTATGACGTAGGCACTGTATTTCGTCATATAAAAGCGTGTTGTTCTGAGCGTTCTACTACACTCCTCTCATCGATGGGCGAGTTATTTTCGCTCTTCTCTTGAAACCGTCGTCGCATTTTTTCCCTCCATTAAAAAATTCCTATTATCGCATTTTGTAGAATCTTGTTTATGGTCTTTCTTGGGTCTTCCGCTTTTTTTTCTTTACTTGTGTTCGGGCCCGCTGTCCTCCTCGGCGAGACTAACCTCAGAAACTACTCCCTTGAGCATTTTTGGATTTTTCTCGAATTTCCGCTAACAGCTAGCTGAAATTTATATGCTCTTATTTTGGCACTGGGCTTGTCCTTCCCTCCGGTTGCTTTTTGTTATTTAATTTGTCCTTTTTCCTACAGTCTCCGCGGAATATCTCAGACACTGCTCAGCTGCGCGTTCGCTCAAGCGCGTACCTAGAAGTCTATTATTATCAAAATATTTGCTTAAAGTAATTTTATTAGATTATGTCTAATTGTTATACATGTTACCAAATCATTGAGTAAGACTCTCATATTGGTATAATAATCCGATTTCAACATATACGTCTACCATTTTATTTTTATTATTTACCGATTTATGTGATTTTTCTGATAATTGCTCTGTATCATTTTATTCATTATTTATCTAAAGCAATTAGTGATTATCGTGCAATTTAAGTTATTTAATTGCAGAGGCCAAAAAGAAATTTTCCCAGGAATCCGAGTATACTTTTCTGAAATATTTTGGTGTGCTGAATTCAAATCCGACCGTAGAATTGCTCTATCTAGTCAGGTTTTTAAGAAATTCTAACCTAAAAGTGAAAAAAACGCCGTTTTTTCCCATTCTTTGAGGTTATGTAACATATTAGGTTTTAATAAAACAAAAAACTACACGAATATGCTCAAATATTTTGAGGTAAACCGAATGAGTTGGGTTGAAGATTTGGCGGTGTAACAGTGTCTAGTTTGATTAAGCTTATAGCAGACAAAGTTTGCTTGGTTTGGAAGCCTGTAGTTCGGTTATAAATTTGCTTTGTTGAACTCTGGATAGATAGGGTTTTGTTGGTTTTGTGACTTCTGATTTAGTTATTGTTCACTCGATCCAATTTATGGTGAATAGGGTTGATTTGACATTTAAATATGAGTTTGTTTCAAGATACACTTGACTTATCACGGTATTGGTGGAATGAAGTAAAATTGAGAAAAATTAAAACTTTAAAAATACGATGTCTCAGTGAAAAAAAATGATATTTGAGCAAAGTCAACGTCATTTACAAGTTTAAGACTTGTACTTTAAGCCACTTTGTATAGTTATTTAGGTATATTACAATCTGACGGGTCACATAAACTCAAAAATGAGAAAAGACTTTTTTGCACTTTTAGATTAGAATATTTCAAAAAATCTGACGTCATAGAGCAATTTTATGAGCGGATTTATATTCAGCACATCTAAATCATTCGAGAAAGTATACTCTGGAAAGAAACTGTTCAATTTCGTTGGTATGTGTTATTTTTTACATTATGATCTTTATCCTTGGCACTCAACGAAGTTCCTATATTATTTATTGTTAGAATAGGAGCTTATTTCATTTGAATACAATGGATATTGGATTACAGGCCTAATTCTCCAATTTGTTGGACTTTCTGTAGAATTTTCACATTTATTAAGTTTTATGATCATTTTTTGTTTACCTACCGTCGCTCATTCATTGTTGTTCGATAATGATTCCATTCATCCTCGATACTTCGTTTACAATTTATAATACATGAGTGTCTCAAATGTAGTATTCAAAAATAACATTTGAAAAAATTTTCAAACAAAAGAATGACAATTAGATTCAGAGAAATAGGAAAGATCAAATGATTGCCATACATCAAACAGATTATATATATATTCTCATAATCTGTATGTGAAATTCGATTAAACGTATCATTTTTCGTTTGTCATATCAGTTTTTAATCTTGAAGTGTCAAAATAATGATTACTAAAATATTAGGCAATGTACCATATCATTTAATCAAGCGATTTTTTATATTTAACTCTTGATTTTTATTCAATAAGTAATAAAAATATTGTATGTCATCGAAATCAAATCATTTAATAAAAATAATGCAGTGTGTCCGTTTAACGGAATATGGTCATCAAATCGAAGTAAACAATCAAAGTAAGTAAAAATAAAAAACCTTTAACATCTACTATTATATATAAGACATATTTCAATCAATTTTAACATATTGTTAAAGACTACAAAGCTTTTCATAAATCTTATTTTCAAAAATGCGAAAGTTAAATTATTCCAGAACTTTTGAGTACACATAACTAACAATCAGAATTACTTTTATTAAATAAGCAACTTGTCTACTCTATCTTTCTAAAACTTAAAATATCTGACATTAGTTTCATTTTATTCACACTTTACTAATTATAAAACCAAACTCCTGATTGACAATTAAATAAATATTTTTATATGTACCTGGCAAACAAATTCATAACTTCCTCTCACTTGCATATATCCAGCGCATTCAGGGTGATATAAACACAAACAGACGCAGCAATGTAAGCTAGGTATCAATCCCATACCTGCTGAACACCTAATGCTACATGGCTCTTGAACTTTTGTCCTGAAAGATATGTATTGCCAAGACAAAAAGGACGACACACGGATTAAGTAACTCTTTAAGGTACATGCGGATTTATTAACATTTTAATATGAAAAGACGATTCAATATAAATTATTGACTTCAATGACCAATTATTATTCAATCATCTAATTTGACTGATTTTCAAATCAATGTTGATAGTAAATTTCATAGTTCAGTGTCAATTACATGATTGACGTGCGATGTTCTTTGTTCATAAAAAAATGATTATAAACTAATCATATTTAAATATTTAACAAATTCACAAATCAAGAACAATGTTTTTGTAATTTACTAAATCATGGAATTTGATTTTACAAATACGTACTTGTTAAGTTTTTTAGACTTTGTTGAGGGACTTTTTTCATCGAAATTCTTTCTTGTTGTGTTGGAATTCCATTCCGTTGGAGTAGTCAATTCATTGTCTGATAAAGTAAGTTGTGGTGATTTACAATCTTCTAGAATAATTTTATAAATTAATATGTATTGGAATAATGATGATAGAATAATGGTAATGTTAAATTTACTTTTCGTGATTCCTTTTTTTGTTGGTAGTTTTATTTTTAAAGCTGATGCAGTTTTAGCACTCTTTGAAGCAGTTCTCATAGATAATGGAGAAGATGCAAATTTTTCACCTTTTTTTGGTATAGTTTTTTTTGTTAAAAGGATATCATTACCTTTCTTTGTTACTTTGGTGAACATTTTATTTCCCAACTGATCCTGAAAAAAAGTAAAAATATTAATTTTACGAAAACCTATTTTTATCTTAAAGAAAAAAGTAACTAACTCTAGGTTTTTTAGCATCTCGTATAATTTCTTTGCAAGGATCATTAACACCAAGGGGTTCTTTGAAGAATGTAAAATTATCAATTGTTATTTCACTTGTAGTCACTGAAAAATTGATTGATATCATACATTATACGCTTCAATTGGAAGATTAATAACAATTCTGTTATACTCACAAAATTCGGTAACTTCTCTGTAACTTCTAACTTTTTTACCTTCTGGTGTGTAATAGTAAATATCAGCCATCCTTTTTGTTTGATTTTCAGATGAACCGGCTCTATAAACCAATTCTCTCTTCCACCCATAGTCAAAAGGCACTCTATATGCAGGATTACTAATATCCACTGTAACCTTTTGACGAATAGCGTTACCAGGACTTACACCTCTAGATAGACGATTTTTTCTCAATTTACTGGAATGAACTACAGAATTATTTTCAGATTTATCTACTTTTAATAAAGATTCTTCTGGATCATTATTATTAGAGCCAAGTTCACTAGTAACTTTTTCATCGTCAGAATCAGTTGAATTTTCATTATTATCTCTAACGTCATTGTAGGTATTTTTGATAGTTTTCAACGGAGAAACTTTTCGACGTTTGGAAGAGGAAAAAATTCCAGACTCTGCTTCAGCTGAGAAAATATTTATAAAATAAGAAAAAAAATAACCAATATATTTTCACAAATATTATGATACAGATTTTATAAAAATAAATAATATATTTGTAATTAAATATAATAGTTTCATCACACTATATTTCCAAAAATACACACACATCGGATCTCTGTTTTGTTCTGAGAATTGTATATTTAGTCTTATGATATATTTATTCGACAAAATATATATCCTTGAATAGTTTTTTTAAGCTCAATACAATTATCTAACCAAATTCGAGAAATGTACTTAAAGATATTTGCTTAAAAATACATATGTGAATTTCATGTTGAGTTACTAGACTATTTAAAAAACACGCTATTTAATAATTATTAAATAATATTAAAGTATAACCGGCCATTTAGTAACATTTTATACATCGTTCTTTTCCTCGAGTCTATTCCTACCAGTGCCTGGAACGATTACCATGTATAATATAGCCAATAGGTAGAAGTTTGTCCGTAGGACTGTTTAAGACTACAAACCTGGAGAGTTACTGTTTTCTATTGGCAACGACAATGACGGTGGGAACAAAGCAACAGTATTTCAGAAACATGAGAGAGAGAGAGAGAGAGAGAAAGAGAGAGAGAGAGAGAGAGAGACCAATTCGGTAGAGCGTGAAAGTCGACAAACTCGCATACGTATACTTGTGCATAGCCGGCAAGATAAGATAGGCACGAGGTGGTGGATTATCTCTGTCTCTCTAATTATACTAGACGATATTTGTGCGCTATGGATGGAAAATTGATGCACGAAATTAACTGGACTCATCGCGAACTACTAAAGTCGCAATCGTTTGAGTTTCTTTTTTGAACGTTTTTGTGTTTCTTTTTCTTTATTTAGAGTTTTCTGGTGATCGCTGTTTTTGAGCGTCTGACAAGAGAAGACAATAAGCCTGCTTCTCGTTAACCTCTCTTTCTCTCTTATCTTCTCTCAGTAAAATATACTGACTGGCGTTAGACATACAATAAGAATATGCCTAACTATTGGCCTGATTGTTTCAGCATCGATGATTCCCAATGAAAGGCTGAAAAGGCCCGAAGGGCTCCAGCAGTGGGAGCGAGCCAAGGAGAAATAGAGAAAGAGAGCGTAAGAGTAAGAACGAGAGAGAAAGACAACAGGGTATAGGCAAATCATAGCAGGCGTGCGACGTTTTGACTGGTATAAGCCCCATCACACGGCGCTCAAAAAATAGGCTAAGTGGAAAAACTTAGTAAGCCAGTACTAATCGTCCACACCTTGACAGGAGCAGTGTGAAAACAAAAGAACGCACGACATCTAAAATTAACACCCTATAAGAAGTCATTAGGAAGAGCAGAGATCCGCGTACACAGAGTATTTCAACCGTGCCGCCTGTTTAAAAAGTGAGACTGCCCTTTGCTGGTTGAGGACCTGGCCGAAAGTTTCGTTCAAATTTTCCCAAGTTATCCCCAGATTGAGAGAAAAAGGGTATCATCAACGCTGTTTTACCCGCGCCGCCTGTTTCACCCGAAATCTGTCAACAAGGTCAGATCCCTCGTTTCTTTTCACTCTCGTTAATTCTCTCTCGTCATAGCATACGTGCGGTCGTAGTATATTTTTAAGTAGAGTAATGCTCCCAAAAAAAGCGTTATCCGCCGGGTATCTGGGTTTTCTTTAGGTTTCGAACAGCGCCTCGATAGGCTAAGTTACGGGAGACTGATAGTGGACTACCAAGGCGTTCACTCGCCGAGCAGTTGACATCTAATTGTTTAGGTCATAAGTACGAGGTGTGATCAAAAAGTAAGGTGAATTTTGAAATTTAGCGGGCTACGTCCGTTCGATCTTCGACTTTTTTATTTGGTTATGTCGGTACACTCGTCTAGAACATACGTTCCAAATTTCAGCTTTGTAGTATGTTTGGTTTGTTTGTGAGAGGCATCAAGGTTAGAAGTGTTTTGCGTGCTCCACGATTTGCTGCTGTCTAAAAACATGGATTAAAGAGTTTGCATTAAATTTTGTGTGAAAAATGGAATCAAATATTCCAAAACACTTGAAATGCTGAAAGTGGCATACGGTGAGTCTACTTTAAGCCAAAAAAATGTTTACAAGTGATATAAACTCTTCCAAGAAGGCCGAGAAGACACCGACGACGAACCTCGTTCTGGACGCCCCAGCACATCAACAACTGATGAGAATGTTGAAGAAGTGAAGAAAATAGTGTTGGGAAATCGTCGAATTACCATTAGAGAAATTGCTGATGATATTGGCATCTCATTTCGTTCGTGCCAATCAATTTTGACGAGTGATTTAGACATGAGACGTGTGTCAGCGAAGTTTGTTCCGAAATTGCTCAATTTCGACCAAAAGAAACGTCGTATGAGCATCGCCCAAGAGCTACTGAATGACGTCAACCATGATCCAGATTTACTCAACAGGGTTATAACAGGTGACGAAACATGGGTATACGGTTATGACGTCGAGACTAAGACTCAATCGTCCCAGTGGAGGCATTCTGGATCACCAAGACCAAAAAAAGCACGCCAAGTTCGATCAAATGTAAAGGTTTTGCTTACAGTTTTCTTTGACTGCAGGGGCGTGGTGCATCATGAGTTCTTGCAACAGGGTAAATAGGTATATAACATAGGTATATAAATAGGTAAATAACAGGTAACAGAACAGTAAATAAGGAATATTACCTGCAAGTTATGCGCAATTTGCGCGAAGCAATCCGCCAGAAACGTCCGAATTTGTGGAAAAATAAAAATTGGCTTTTGCACCATGATAACGCCCCTGCTCACACATCGTTGCTTGTGCGCGAATTTTTGGCTAAAACCAACACAGTAACGATGCCACAGGCACCGTATTCCCCAGATCTGGCCCCCTGTGACTTCTTCTTGTTCCCAAAACTGAAGAGGCCCATGAAAGGACGGCGTTTTGCCACGATTGAGGAGATAAAGACGGCATCAAAGGATGAACTAAACAAGATCACAAAAAATGATTTTTTGAAATGCTTTGAGGATTGGAAAAAGCGTTGGCACAAGTGCATTATATCCGAGGGGGATTACTTTGAAGGAGATAAAATAAAAATTGATGAATAAATAAATATTTTTTGAGAAAAATAAAAATTCACCTTACTTTTTGATCACACCTCGTATAGTAATTTTTCAAGTCGCTTATACGTTCGTTTTTTTTTCTTTTTAATAATTAGTTTTTAAGATGTATAAATGTTCGTTGATTTGTGTTAATTAGAATAAGATTAAGTTTTGGTATGATTCATAATGTTATTATTTATTGACTTATCCTCTTTTCCCTCTTTCGATAGCTTTGATCGAAAGTGCCTATCATATCCTCCTTTAAATAAGTTGGTAACGACGATGTGCATTCGTTACAAGCTGATATCATTGTGCAATAGCGGATCGTATCTTTAGTTTCAATTTTTATTTTTGTTTTGAAACAGAAAAAGAGAGAGAGGGAGAGAGAGAGGGAGAGACAGAGAGAGGGAGAGAGAGAAAGAGAGGGAGAAAGAGAGAGAGAGTAGTCTTTGGTCCGGGCATGTGATATCTATATTTCTATGTATTTCGACTGGCTGAACACGAACCTGTGGCCAGAATTGCTTCATCATCATATCAATATTTTTAAAATCTCAAGAATTGGTCAGTAAATACGCGAACGGATGTTTTTTCAGACCAACTTCAGATAAACTCAACTACGAGGTTGCACAGAATTTACTCTCGAAGATGGCACTGGAAGAAAAAGCTGACGTCGTTATTATCAGCGAGGAGTATAAGGATCTGGCTGGACCACATTGGATAAACGATGCCACCGGCAGGGTAGCCATCTGTGTGTATATATCCAAGAAGATGACTGTTTCCGTAGCTAATTTCAAGTGAGTGGAGATTGCTGGCATGTGTATTTACAGCTGTCACAGAAATTTCAAAGAACGTTGCAAGACATCGTTGCCAATATTAGGTTATCCCAATTATATACCACTGGCTATAGCGGATGACTTCAACGCCTGGACGACGGACTAGAGAAGCCCCACGACCGCATGCTCCTTGAAGCTTTTGCGGTACTGAGCTGGAGATCGCCAACGTAGGACGATACCCACCTAATCTAAGGCCGGGAGGTCATCGGTGATAGACGTCACATTCGTCGACCCTAGACTGATGGATGAACGACTGGGTTGGAAGGTGAGCGACCACTATGTACTGGTATGCCGGCTAGAGCTTACCAGCAGAATAAGAGCCAAACCGACAACGAGCCAAAGAAAGGAATGGGCATTAGCAATCTTTGACAAGGATATGTTCCTCTACTTCTTGGAGAGAACAAGGTTAAAAGGAACATGGAGGATAAGGCCCGGGGCCTCACTGCAGTCCTAACAACTGCCTGTGACACCTCCATGGCAGTGAAGTGTAATGCTCGCGGTTGCTTATCATTATACTGGTGGAGTGACACCATCGCAGGCCTAAGAAGGGAGTGTCTAAGGAAAAGAAGTAATCAGAGAGCAAAAAACATTTCGCGATTCCCGGTGCTGTTAACAGCCTATGAAACGAAGTGCAGAGTTCTAGGCTGCGATCAAAGCAGCCAAAAGACTGACAGAATGTTAGGGAAATGCTGGTAGGATTTTTATGAGGAAGTGGGTCGTGACCTCTGCCACAGGCCATACAAAATGGTCATACAAAAGATTAAGTCGAGGGGTGAAACTCCACCATCGTGCACGGTTATTGATAGAGTGGTCCACCATCTGTTCTCAGACCTTCAAGTACGTGCAGACGACATAGGACTGAGAAAAGTTGACACCAATGAGCCAAATGAAGTATCAGATCAAAAGTTGAGACTTTCTGCCATGAGAATTCCGATCCGCGAAACCCCAGGTCCGGACGGTATACCGGGTATTGAGATTAAAACGGCTGCGCTTCACGTTCTCCATATATTTAAAGACGCGTTCAGCGCCTGTCTCAGAAAGGGACATTTCCTAATACACTGAAAATGGCAGAGGTTGGTGCTGATCCACAAA